CGGGCGGCCGCGGCTGCGGGGCGGCGGCGGGCCGCGCCGGTTGCTCTCGAACGCCGGCTTGGTGGCCTGGGCCACCTTGATGGCCTTACCATCCAGGGACTTGCCGTTCATATCGCGGGCGGCGGCCTTGGCGTCGGCGGGGCTCTCGAAGGTGACGAAGGCGAAGCCCCTGGACTTGGCGGTCTCCCGGTCCTTCATCAGGAGCACCTCGGAGATGCGGCCATACTTCCCAAACGCCGTCTCCAGGGCTTTCTCGTCCGTCTCGGGGTTGAGGCCCCCGATGAAGAGCTTCCCCGGGCGGTCGGCCTCGACCATGTCGGCGGCGGCGCGGTCGGCGAGGGCTGTGGGAAGCGCAGAGTTGAGCGCGGTCGGCGGTGGCGGCGGGAAGCCTAGCGGCAGCGTGCGCGTGTCTGAGGGGACGTGCGGAGGCTGCGCGGCGGCGTGCCCAGAGCGCCTCCTACCGGTCGGGCGGCGTAGGCCGGAACTGCGGCGTAGCCGGAACCGCGGGGGCGTCCTACCCCCCCCCCCGCACCTGCTCCCACGGAACTCCGGACCCCGACGGTGAGAGTGGGAGGAAAGCCCCCTTCTTTCTCTTCCCGCCCCATACCCAGGCGCTCTCGTCTGTGATTGGTCGACGGCTCTGCACCTCAGGCCCGGGTAGTCCCGCCTCCTGCCTCCTGCCTCCCACTACTAACCAACCAGCCCAGCCCACTCTGAAGGCGCAGCAACCCAGTTAAAAAGCCTCAAGGTTGGGAAAGTCGAATCGACCCCCTCCGCTAATTGAATGAGAAAATTGATCATGCCTTTAGATTTGTCCGCAAACGTTTTTCAAAAAGAAAAGAAAATAGTTGGTAATAGTTTGTATGGTTAGTAAAAAAAAGAAAAAGAAACATTTGCACTTATCTGAGGGGGGAAATGAAGTCCCGATGCAGGGACAAGGTTGGTTGGTGGAACTCTAGAAGAATCTGTCTTAGGATGGATCTTAGTTGGTTCTTGTTGTTTTCGAACTTCTGTGTTCAGTTATTCATCCCATAAAGGGTTCCTAGGTATGTCCAAACTACCCTTTAAAATAAAGGCATAGCACAGAAAGACTCTATGGGGATGAAATAAAAACAGTACTTTCAAAAAGTAATTTTTAAAAAAGCCATGGGAGTTCATGTAACACACACGTTTTTGTATGTTATAATGGATTATAGTGATAAATACATAAAGTTGAAAGTTAGTGGAAACCGGAAGTGATGCCTCCAGTTTTAATGGAGGTGCTTTTAAAAGTTGTAAGATTTTTAGCATGCATGAATTTAATTTAATGTTAAATGCATCCTGTCAGTAAAATGAAGCAACCGATTTTTATTATAAAAACATTGTGTTACAAGGTAAACCCACGTTTAGGGATGTATTCGTTTTCTAAAAATTGATGAATTTATTTCGTTTGTATTCTTTAGAAGTCTAAGCATTAAGAGTGTTCACCTATTCATTTTTTTCTGCATGCTGGGCTAGAAGATTTTGGGGAATAAGATCCATCCGGGCTGGTATTCTGGGTTTGTTTTACCAGCCAATGTATCCACTTTTCAGTTTATCTAGACTTTAAAATCTTTCCTCTTGACTTGGTTTTTGTAAGGTATACTTTACCAACAACGTACATATTTTTGTTTGAAATTTCAAATTTATTTTGTCTATAGCTGTGCTGTTTTTGTTTTCCTTCATCCCTTAGCCAATATTCATCTCTTCTCCATCTCCCTGTTCCCTTTCTGTGACCAGTCTTTCCTAATTTTATTTTTCTGTTCTTTTGTAAACAGCTTTCAACTTTGGTAATGCTGTTTCAACATTTTAATTGTTAGTAATTTTCTCTGTGTTTTTCATTTTTAAAATTTATATTTTTGTTTTATTTAGGTAGGGCAGTTAGCACATTGAGTTTTAAAAATATTTCTTATAATAGCTATATCTAAGATGAACACTTATGTGTGATTAACAACTAAGCAGTGATACATAGGATTTTCATTATGTAGTTGCTAACATTTTCTAATTTTCCTGTTTCTTCCTTGACCCAAAAGTTTATATATAGTATGCTTTTAAGTTTTCCAGCATACAAACATTTTGGTTATTTGTAGGTTATTTTGTTGTTGGCACTTGCTTTGTGACTTAATATGCGTGCATGTGTGCATGTACGTATTATCCCATATATACTTAGAAGAAAGTGCATTCTGTATGTGTTATTTAAATAATTGTGAAGTTCAAATCCTCTTTTTTTTGTTTTTGAGTTAACATACATGTGTAATATGAGAGGGTTTTATTGTGATGTTTCTTTGTGCATTTTGAAAAAAAAATCACCCCTAAACCATATTCCCTTCTTCTTTTCTCTTCCCTCCACGTTTTTCGAACAGCATTTGATAGATTTCATTATGCTGTATATATACACACATATACGCATGCATGTACATATACATATACACGTATATGTATCCTTTGCCTCACATTTATAGGCAGGTACCCTACCATGTGGGGCACTCTGCTTGCACCCCACTTCTCATCCTCGTTTATTTACTTGTTTATTTACTGGTTGGGACCAAGAACTGTTTTTAAATTTCCATAGTTGTAGATCTGGCAATTTCTCTTTGCTTTATATTCATTTTTCTTTCATGTAATTTAAAGTTACTGTGGGAAATTGTCTCTATTTACCTTAATAACTTTTCTTTTGCGTTAGTTGATTTAGCCTGATACTTAATTGTGCCTTCTATTTTTATTCTTTGAATAGTTTCCTTTATTTTTTCCACTAAATTTATAAATTTTCTTCAACTATTGTTTACCACTTGACTAATTTTATATGTTAAAATCCAAAATTTTTAAATTTTACCTCCAACAATGTTTCTTCTACCCTTACCAAAATAATGCCATTCTATCCAGGCTGAGGGAGTAAGTATATTTTTTAGAGATACACATTTATTATACCAGTAGGCTACTCTTTCTAGTCTGATTTGTTAGTATTTGGTTTATGATTGTTCCACAACCTATTTTTCCCACTTTCCTTTCTTTTTTTCTTCCTCCCCAGGAAGGAGAAAGGGGTGGCAGATTGAACTACTTCTAGGCTTTCTTGTACACAGCACAGCAAGGAGATCATTATGCATGTAACACTTTTTTAAATCTCTTTAGTTCCAGGGCTCCTCTTAGGTAGAAGAGTTTAAAATGTCCCAGAACCTCGAAAGGGGGTTATTGAATTGGAATTCAATAGACTTCCATATAAATTTTTACCAGTGAGAAAGAGCTAGAATGGGCTAGAATGGCTCCAGGATTATTTGCCAGAGTGGTGAAGCATCTAAGGTTGAAGAGGGAGGGTTAGTTCACACATTCTTAACTAATGTTATTTTAAACATCTTCTAATTGTGCTTGGCCAGCAAAACAGCCTATGATTTTAAGGATGCCTTAGCAATTTTGGAGGGAGGGCAGTATTAGAGTTTGAATTCAGGGACTTGTACATGGTAAGTAGGTGCTTGAATATTTAAGCCATTTGGTTATTTAGCTTGTGGATCAAAGGGCATTCCATTTTACATGTCCATTTCTGTGTCTAATGCGTCTTAATCAGTGTCATGCTTTCAGCGCTCCTCAAGCCACCCCTCTGGCCTCCCAGTGTACTATGATGATTATGACAGTATTTGCCCACTGTTCCTTTCTCCTCTTATCCACCTCCCTCTCACACAGGATATTTTTCAGCTTCTTGGTTATTTATTTGTTAAAGTGTCTGTTAATTGTTCCAAGGGGAACTCAGCCATTCATATACCTTGCAAATTAGTCAGTTTGATCACGTATATATCCATATGGTCCTGTATGTGTTTCCATGTTTACATTCCAGGTACAACCTTTACATATAAATCTCTGAGCATGACTTAACTTCACTCAGCATAATTCTTCCATGCAAATAGTATTATTCTTCCTGCTTAATGAATCAAATTCCATTTGTGTGTATACACACACATCCATATGTGTGTATACATATACATATGTGTATACATATGGATGTGTGCATATATATGCATGTGTATACTCATAGCACATTTTCTCGGTCCATTTTTTGCTTAAACAAAATTTATTGTTTGCATAACTGGATGATTATGTATCGTGCAGCAATGAACATGGTGTACAGATGCTCATAGTTTTTCTAGACTTCCATTCTTTTGGATAAATGCCCACAATCGTATCGCTGGATCATAACTACCATAGTAGTAGTACTAACATACATTCTCACCAACAATGTAATGAGTTCCGTTCCCTTGTATTCTTGCCAGCATTTGTTGTTGTTTGTATTCTTAATAATGGGCATTCTGACAGGAGTGAAATGATATCTGTGTTGTTTTAATTTGTATTTACTTTATGGTCAGAGATATAGAGCATTTCTTCATTTGTACGACTTCTGTGAATTGTCTGTTTTGCCATTTATTAATTTGGTTATTGATCCTTTGAGATTTAGTTTCTGAGCTCCTTGTATATTTTCCTAATTAGACCTTTATCAGCTATATAGCTATCAAAAACCTCCCATTCTTTAGGCTTTTTTTTTGTCTGTCATGGAGCTTGGACTCAGGGCCTGGGCTTTTCTGCTCAAGGCAGCGCCCTGCCACTTTGAGCTTTGAGGCACAGATCCACTTTAAGTTTTCTGATAGCTGATTAGAAATAAATCTCATGGATTTTTCTGCATGGGCTGGCTTTGCACCACCATCTTGAGTAGCTAGGATTACAGGCATGAGCCACCAGCACCCTGCTTAGGCTGTCTTTTTAGCTTGGTCACTATATCATCACTGTACAAAAACCTTTTAGCTAGTTGCAATCCCATTTGTCAGTTTACTATTTGCTGAGTCCCTGGAATTCTGTTTAGAACATAATATTTGAATGAGTGTTAAGTTTCAGTGTTATGCATGTGCATATACACAATTCTCCACATCATTTGCTGACGGGGCTATCATTTCTCCAACATAAACTTTTTGCTCCTTTGTCAAAAATTAAATGGCTGCAGGTATGTAGGTTCATTTCTGGGGCTTTTATTCTATTCCAGTGATATTCAGGTCTGTTTTTGTGCCACTACCAAGCTGTTTTTGTTGTGATATCCCTTTTTTCAAACCTGACTTGGTTTTCATGAGTTCTCCTCCCTTGGTCTGATTGTGTATGGGTTTATCAGTTTTATCTTCTTGAAAAACCTTTTGTTTTGTTGATTCTTTGTATATTTTTTAGTCCCTACTACATCAATTTCTCCCCTAATCTTCATTATTTTTTTCCATTTACTGGTTTTGGTTTTGACATACTCAGGGTTTTTTTTTTTTGAGCTTGAGGTA